CTTACAGGAACAGCTACAGTAGTGTAGGTATAGTCTACAGTAGAAAAGGGTAGCTCCATTAGTATAGTAATAGCAGAAAAACTTCATACTGTAGATGCAGTTGTTACCAACAAAAAGCTATGTTTGGCAAAACATCTTAGCAGGTCACCAAACAAAATAAGGGGATAAAATAATTATAGCAATTGGGATTTTTGGATTTTTGTGGAGCTTTGGTGGGTGTTGGTTTTCTTTTGGTTTGGTTTTAATTTTTTGTTTATTTTTTTATTCGTTTTTGGGGTGGGAGAGTGGGGTTACTGTAAGAAAACTGCATCTACACGAGGGCTTTTGCTGGTATGATATCAGTGGTCTACCCGTGATATTTTCAGAATTCTCTTATGAACCATAATTTAAAGTATTATAGTTTTTATTATTGATTGTTTGAATGTCCTTGTTTCACAGAAGTGATTTAACACAGACCAGATATATTAAAACAACATCAAAAACTTCAAAAGAATCACTCTGGATTTTAGACCTGTGTAAATGAGACAGAATTTGACTCATGGTTGGAATGAAAATAGAATATAAAGAAAAAGCCTCAAGTATTTCTGAAACAGTCATTTAAAGATACTAATATCCCTTAACAGGTAACCTGTGCACATAGTCATTTGTAAAGCAAATCAAACATATTCTGCTTCACTTCAGAAAACTCCAGCTCTAAGCCAATTTGTACCAGTTAACATCAGATGATCCTGCTCATAGGCTGGCAATCATCAAATCTTAGTTGCAAAGTAAAACAGTGAACTTGCCCTATCTGTTTTAATGTGACCCTTTCTATGGTAAACTATAAACATGACCTATACTGGAAAACACCTGTTGTGCAACTGCTCCCATGAATTTTGTAATGGGGATAAACAAATGTTCTCTGGAGCCTAGAATGACACTACCTGCTCATTTCATACATTGCCAAAACGACCTTTGAACCCAAATCTTTACAATTCTACCACCTTAGCTTCCCCTATTTTCATTAACAATTATACACATTGCAAAAATAAACATGCATTGTCACCCTAACCACCAAGGCTCCTTTTGGACAACACTAATTAGAAATAAGTTTTTAAAAACAAATAATGTATTTGACCTTATCTTAGTTAATATCTGATATATATTTCATTTAATAAAAAACTGCATATTCCAATCCACTAACCTACATGAATTTTTTATAAAGTGCAGGATATCCTCCTCAAAATGAGTATTCCAAATACCTACATAACAGACAATTTAATACAGTCTTGAAGGATAAAGAAAATGCTCTATTTTTCTTTAAAGAATGCTATGCTAGTGCTTGGCAAATTACCAACATGTCATTCACATGTAGAAACTTAAAAGCAGAGAATCCTCAATTATATATTTGAAATTTCAAAGCATATTTGAGAGAGGCAGCGTTAGTTTCATGTAAAGTAAGATACACATTTTTGTGACCAAAATAAAATGCAGCATTAGCAGAAATGAACTGTTTGCTATGATTTAATGTTTATGCATGACCTCGCAAGCAGTCCTAAAAATCTCACCAATACTATACTAACCAAAGGAAAGAACGCTGTATTGAGAGCACATTTTTTTCCTCATGCTATTTAAAAATACGTTCCAGCTGAACAGAGGAGATGAAGACTAACAACAGACTACCAGATCACAGAAGGTAATACTGCAGCCTGGTCGGCATGGGTATGTCTACACAGCAAAGTTATTTCGGGATACCAGAGGTTTCCCAAAATAGTTACCCTGTGTCTTTTGAATGCATCTGCTATTTCGAAATATAGCAAATGTGCTATTTTACCATCCCTGTAAAACTCATTCTATGGGGGATAAGTGATGGCTCAAAATAGTGCTTCATTTCGGAATTTGGCGCTGTGCAGACAGTGCTTAATGGCAAAGTAAGCTATTTCGAAATAGATTTGAAATAAGCTATGCATGGCACAGATTGCATATCTTATTTCAAGTTTCGGGTGCTATGTAGACGCACCCTATGATGATAGAACAGAGGTGTAAGAGAGCACTGCCCTTTGCATCACCTTGCAGGGGATGGGAGCATCACAGTATGGGATGTGGCTGCAGCAGAACTGCTATGTCCTGTCCCATTCAGGTAGAGGAGAGGAGGCGGGGAGTGGGCAGAGCCAGTGGTTTTCTCTCATACACACACGCACACACAACTTATTTATTTTCACTACAGTCATTGATTGTTTTTGCTCCACCCTGAAATGAATATAGCAAATCTCTCTTTGTCATCAGGTCGGTCTTTCTGCCTTTAGATATTTCAAGCTGACACTTCTCAGAAAGGCTTGGCTGAATTTTTATTTTGTGCCACCACTAAACACGTAGGACTAGGTCCAGTGACTTGAGCAGAGCTAATGCCAAAGCTATACTGCTATACACCAGCCAAGAATTTGGCTTGTAAAGTTGCCTGTATCCCTGAACAATAGCTCTAACTTTGAAAAAGACGACTTGTTGCACAGCTGCTGAATCCATCCTTAATGCTACTACACTAGTAGCAATTCACCTACACCTCTTCCATTTAATTAAACAGGAAAAACAAGGACACTGGTGTGGCCTGACCAATGTTTTATGGAGAAACTAAATGGCTGCGCAATTACGTGGCAAGCAGCATATACAATATATCTTGCACTTCTTACTTACTAGGACATATAGTAACAACTTTCATGTTTTTTTCTCCATCAGATTAATCCCCAAAATCACACAAATTCAATTTTGTAATGCATCTTAGTTTATTTATTATGATTGAGGAGGGATTGTTTGTGATCGAATATGCACCAAACATACTGGAGATGCTCCAACCAGACCCCCAAATTTGAAACACCCCCAGACAACTTAGTTAATTAGTTTAACTTAGTTTATTCTCAAGATCCAAACCCAGACTTTGAGCACATCAGCACAGCTTCATCAAAATCAATTGGAGCTCTGCTGGTTTACATCTGCTGAGAGCCAGGCACCATCAATTCATTATTAAGGAGTAACTTCTAAAAAAGCTTTACATGGAAACCCAGATCAGAAGACCTACAAATTTAGGGGAGTTGTGTTTCAAAATAAAGTCCCAAACCCAGCTCCAGATTCTGTGGTTCATGCCAATCTCAAACATTTATGTGAATGAGTCAATTGTTCTATGATTACTGCTTCTGGATATTTGGCGCAGTAAGGGTGCATCTACACTGCACTGTTATTTCAAGATAACTACTGTTATTTAGACATAAAAATGCAAGCGTCTACACAGCCATTCTGTTATTTTAATTTTGAAATAACGGACAGCTTATTCCCAAGTCTGTAAACCTCATTCTATGAGAAATAACGCCTATTCCAAAATAGCTATTTCAAAATAAGGCGTGTGTAGATGCTCCTCTGCTGCTATATCGAAATAGCTTACCAGGGCTCTTGTAAGTTATACCTTCCCAGCACCTCCTGGGGCTTTAAATCAAGATAGCACATTAGGGAAGCCTGCCTTGGACTAATTTTGAGGCTTCCCTGCAGTGTAGATGTGCTATTTCGAAATAAGCTATGTCGGAATAACTATTCCGGAATAGCTTATTTCAAAATAAAGTATGCAGTGTAGACATACCCTCAGAGAACCTGATATATCAAGGCCTGGTTCAACAAATTCAACCTGTGGGAAACAATGTATTTTTAAAATTGCCCATTCTCTGCCCTTCTCTACAAACTTCTAGCAATCTATAGTGACATGGGGACTCTGACAAGTGAAAAAACATTCCATAAGAAAGGCTGATGTTCAGAAAATCCACCAGGTATTGCACTGTGTATTGCTCTTTATATAGCACACCTGAGCTCTCCTTGAATCCCACAATAAGCACAATCAATGAGTCAAGTAGTTAGTATATCAATAGGTGGCTTAAAAAATGAATGTTGTGTTTGTGTCCACTCAGTAGAGAATTTACCCTGTGTCATTTTTACCTAGAATTTTCTTCAGTTACAGACCCACTCACTTCCTTCTACCCCCAACTTCAGTTTCATGTTTGAGCTACACCTCAGGGAGTTGCATTACTCTATGACACATCTGATAGGGCTTCATCTGTACCAAACTGAAATCAATCCACTAGAGCATGCTGTAAAAGAGAAGAAATGACCGATTGCCTCAAGTCTAAGGCTGTCATCTGAACTAAATCATTTACCAAAAGTGGATGGATAGGGCTTGATTGGATTCTCACACCAGTTTTAAGCAGGCCTAGAAGGATCAAGCAGGCTGACACGCTTGGCTGAAGGAGGAGCTGGCTCCCAGAGCTCTGCTGCAGGCAGGTTAAAGGGGCTGGCTACGGGCTGCACCCCCAGCATCACTCTGGGGCTGCCCCAACCTTGAGATTTGCCGTGGGGGGCACTTAGGGAGTGCAAGGGGCTGAAGTTCCTTCCTCTGAGCTTGCAGTTCCCCTTCCCATCACTTTCATGGAAGGAGAGAAAAGTGCACAGTGTGTCTGCAGGGGACAAAGAAGTGAGTGGCCCAAGCTTTTCCCTTGCTCCCTGCCAGTCACAGGAAAGGAAAGAGCAAGCAGCTTCTCCTAGCGGGAGAAGTCTTCACCTCCTCTCCCCCCATCCCCTCCATAAATGGCAGCCTTGCCCCCCATCACACATCCCAGTCCCCGGCCCAGAGCCTCCCACACTCCTAGCTCCCTGACTCCTGCACCCCCACAACCTCCCTGCTCTGAGACCTGCCTGACTCCTGCATTCCTCCACACACACCCCAGCCTTCTGCCCTGAGCCTCTCCTCACACTCCTAACCCTGACTCCTGCACCCCCAGCATCCTGCCCAGAGCCTCACACACCCCCAAGTTCCTGCCCAGGCTCCTGCACCACCACCCATAGTGCCACTCTGTCCTGAGCCCTCCCCACTCATTCCAATACCATGATCTGCACTTCACTCCAGACATAAATTTCTTTCAGGTACTGTCATATCACAAACCTCTGTTCAATCGATAAGACAGTACCCATAAGAAATGTAAGTTACTATCACCCCTGCCTAGGAGTTACATAGAGCTTATCCAATTCTGCAATGATTTGACACATGGAATACTCCTCAAAGTCAATGCGATTGTTCACAGTGTGCAAAGTTAAGCACGTGTATTTCAGAATCAGGGCCTTAGTCTTGACCGCAATCTAAGGGTTGCTTAGCACAATCAATCAATCAATAAAATCTTCATTTTGCCATCACTTTCATGGTTCACACATAGTACACAAAAGCTGCTTTGATGTGCGCTGTATCTTAATCACCCACCTGTGCATTTTACAAATGTTAAGAAAAAAAGAGGCGGGCCATAAAATGTAATTGTTGCCATTAAGTTTGCTAGTGGATGAGCCATATCTTCAAAGCACTTTGGAAATTGGCCAGCGTTAAATAGACTCCAGTTGGTGTAGACTGAAGGGTTCCTGGCAGCAAATCAGTCCTGCAAATATTACAGAGTAACGTCTCTTCCCATCACTGACAACTCAAACCTGTTCTCTGGTTGCTCCCGTTGCCAATTAAACAAAGATAATTATTTTATAAGAAATTGTCATTTATGTTGTGATAAAAGACTCAGTTGAAATAATGTTGACAAACCTGCACATTTTTAAGCTTGTTCTTTACTTACAGATAAGAAGGGCCTGATATTATATGTTGGCTCGGGTTCATTTGTGTCTTAGGAGCACAAGTTCTGTGGCTTTAAACGGAACTTAGGTTTCCTCTACCATTTAGATACTTCTGGAGACAAGGGAGACAACCATCTCTTCAGGAACAATGCTAATTTCAAATAATCATATTGTTCTTC